ATAGCAAAGTTCAAATATTTGATAATAAAATTTGTGTTCTGTTGGATGTCTTAAGTAGTCATTTTAAGTTTTGAAATTTATTCCTGTTTAAAAAAAGAGAAGGAAAAAAAACCCCAAGGTAATTAATATTTCAAGGGGTAATGTGTGTATCCTGTTGATACCTGAATTTTATCATCTCACTTCCTGTATTATGCTTGCATACATCTTGGTTCAAGCCCTCTCTTCTCTGGACTTTGCTTCCCTCTAGTGGTCGAGTTTTTGTATTGCAGCCCTTTAAAATTTCTCATTCTGAAAAGTACTTGGTAAAGAACAAACTTATTTTGCCACGATTACCTCATAAAATACTAAAAACCAGGCAGAACGTTTTTTTTTTTGTGTGTGTGTGTGTTTATAGAAGCCTGGAAGCTTAAATAATTACTAGCTTTTAATCTCAGTAGTGCATCACTTCAAAATTTACTGATATATAATTTTGGGATTATACAAATTAAAGTTGTGCTTGTTTTGACACAGCGTGTCCAACACAAGTAAACGTTATCACCTGTAGAGTTCTTGTATGATTAAACCATGGCGTTAAAAAGTCCCATTTGATGCAGTGACTCCAGATTTACAAAGACCAGTGAGATATTTTAAAAAGACAAAACGACAAAATTTAGACTCGCTTGAGAAAAAAAATCTGATTTAGCTTAAATAGAAGTACAAAATAAAATATGTTACATTTTCCCTCCCTAGTTTTCAAAATGGATCAAAAGCAATTGCTTAAAACTGATTTTAGATGTTACCCTGTTTCAACAGTTTAAATGGTCTTTTTAAAGTACTCGTTACGTTTTCCTGGAGACGGGTACAAAATATTTGTCCACCTTTTGCACATTTTATTCCTTATAGCCACAGTTCATACGTCTTTAAATATTTGTTAGCCAAAATGTGTGACTAAAAGCCACCTACCATGTGCATTTGTTTATCTACAGAAACAGCTGATGTGGTGCATCCAGAATTTTCTATAATTTTTGTGGGGACCCCGAGGGCTCTGAAAATCCTGGAGTGGCACCAAAACCAAACCAGAACTGAATGCCAGATTATGTTGTCATATATGGTTTTTTAATTTATTTTTATTTTTTTACAAAACCTGCAAAATCAAGAACTCACTTTTTAATATCTAAAGGTCTGCTTAGTTTTATTTATTTATTTACAGTAATATTACTTACTGAGAAAAGCTGTCACCACTCAGTTTATCCTCCCAGGGGGAAAAGTATTATGGTTTAGATTTTATTTTTCCATATAAATCAAGTGTTGAGGTGATTAGAAAACAGTGCAAATACTATCTTCTTTACCTAATTTTATTAAAATTTTACAACATGTGCACTTAAGTGCACACAACAGGAATTTGTTGATCGCTAGTATGAAACAACAAAACAAGGAGCTGATGATGAAAATTAAAAGCTCCATTGAAGTCCTGGTAAAAAAGGGTATCAAAACATAGTTACATAAAAACATCATAAAAAACTAGATCACGGGTCAACTTAGAGCTGGTTTGTTGAAGGACACTAAATGTTCATATCTAACAGCTCCAGCTGCTGTGCAGTCATTCAGACACCTGGCAACGTAAAATACCAATAAAATGTATATGAATGATTATAACAGTCATTATAAAGCAGGTGTAAAGGCCAGAACAACAGAGATCAACACAAACAAAAACTATCTGGGGGTACGATGTCTGATTTTACACGTGCACGTTTGTTTACATTGCGTGCAGACCCACATTTTAGACATCAATTTAGTTGGAAACTACTTGTTTAAAATTATCTTTCAAACTGCACCATTTGAATTAGTTCAGGATAAACTTTATAATTGATTCCATGGTTTGGAATGGGTCCCTGTAACAGACTTCTGCAGAGCATTAAAACTTGCAGGACAGATGCGTCTCCGTAGGTCTGTTTGGAGGGATGAAGTCAAACCTGGCAACCCGGCCAGCAGCAGGGGAAACCTCCATTCTGAGCGCAGAGTTCCTGAGGGAAGATTTGACCAGAAAAAAGCCGGGTTTTCGCGCTCGTGACTGACAAGTAACCCAGCAGCTCGTTGGTCCAGAAACGAAATGTTCCGTTCGCGTGAGTTTCAACACTTGTCAGTCTTTATTCACCGAGTTCTTAGAGTTTTCTAGTTAGCGTTAAGTTGGCTAGCTGCGCCGTTAGCCGCCTAGCTCCTCCGCTCCGCTAGCGCGTGCGGCTGACGTTAGAGCACGCAGATGCGTCACGATGTTTGTTTTTAAACACGGCACCGACTCGCAGTGTTTTGACATTAACAGCAGCGGTGGCAACAAAACGGAGCGGTTTGCGGCCGAAGTGAATGAAGGTCAGTGAGAGGCGGATGTCTTTATGAAGTAGGAATGTTAAAAACGTGAACCCGGAGGGCTGCGCGTTGTGACAACGGGACACGCTGCCGTCGGTTCGAGCTAGCGAAAATGGTAAACACACCCGACGTGATGAGAAAGGCCTGCGTGAGGGAGCTCAGGGGCAGAGGTGGCTGTTATCCAGGCAAGAGGTGTCTTTTCTCCTCTTTTTAAAGATGGCTGTGTGGGTAGCTGCTGGCAGAAGGGGGAGTGTCGCTAGCTGTCGTCAGGTTGGTTATTTTAGCAACACACCTGGAGGATCCTCACCAAGTCTTCAAAATTATTCATAGTATCATCAGGTGTTCACAAGGGATCTTATGATTGTGTGTGCTTACTCATAGTTAACTTGACCTTCAGTGTTTACACTATTGTATTTTTTTCCCCCCAAGCAGTAAACCACGTGTCCAACTGAAGGCCCCAGGGGCCAAATATGGCCCATGTAAACATCTTATCTGGCCCCACAAGATGATGTTTTAAATTCAAGATATTTTTATCACCTCTCTCATTTTGCTTAAGAACACAGAGTGTACTTTATTGACTGCAGACTTCACATGACAGTCGGCCAACTTTGAAAACCCCCTAAAATGTGACATTTTCATTAATCTGTGATTTTGATGTGGAATGAGCAACGGAGTACGTTTGAAAGAGAGTGATCAAACTCTTGTTCAGGAACTTACAGCCAAGAATATATGTGAGGTATCTGACTTGATTTAATGTTTTACTCAAATTTGGCATTTGGTTTGACCCAAACGCATTAAACACTGTTTATTTTATAAATCTGAACAATGATCAGACTTAGAACTGTACACGTAGGGGAAATGGCCATACAATTGCTGACAAATAGTTAAATAATTTGTAATCTAGAGATCATTGTTCTGCTTATTCCCCATTCATCAGCTACGCTTGGTTCATACTTCAGCAAGACGTAAGCTAGCGGATCTGTCATTACAGTTTCAGACGTTTTTGTCTCGCATGTTCATAGTCGAGGAAAAGATGTGGGGGAATCATACTTCCTCCCTCTGCACTGTCACAGCACTCTGTTTGTAGCACACGATAGGCACATAGTTAAGCATGTAAACACCAGCCATGATAGCAGGATAGACAGAGGTTGTGTTGTTTTTTTCCCACTAATAAAATGTGTTCTTGGACATTGTAAGACATCTGACTTCTTGTATAGGACCATTTTCAGTGAAATGACATGCAGAAGACACGTGCTGTTCTGCATAAACTTGCCCACAAAGATCAGTTGCACAATGTGCCCTGCATAGCCTGCAAGACACGGTTCTGACTGGGGGCAATGCGTCGGCCAGGGTGTCAGCGGGTGGTAAAAGACAGAAGCTATGCATTTTCGTCATGCACCTGCGTAAGCAAAATGTAAGACGTGAGGTATAAACCAGCCTTTAATCAATGAAAATTTGATGCTTCAGCTGCATTTTAAGGTAAACGTGCATCTGCTTGCATTTGTGTGGAAGGTTAGCAGATCCTGTTACTTTGAGTTGGATAATTACCCCAGAGAAGCATCAAAGTAATGAAAATCAGATTAATGTGTCACAGGTCTGAGCCTTTAGAGCTCAGCCTTTAGTGAAAAAGTTTTTCACTTGTTTTCTGATCTGTGCCAAGTTGAGTATTTGATATATACTCTATAAAAACGATACTTGCAAAAACTGAAATTGTCAGTATCCTCAAGACAAATAAATAAACTGGAAAAAAAGAAAAAAAAAAGTTTTTGTTTGCTGATGGATGATTTGATGAAACATACCTCAGATGTTTTCTCTAAATTCCTCCACGCTAACGTCTCCCACCATCAGGGACAAAAATACCCCAGATAGTGTTTATATGAACATTCCTGGCAGCTCTCGTTCTCGTTTTGGACTGTCAGGACATTTTTCTGTGCCTTTTCTGAGCACATTCTACCAGCTGATTAAAAAGGATCAAATCACCAGGAAAATAGAGATCTGGTATTCCTTGCAGGACTCCATATCGCCCGACGCCTTTCATAGCAGAGTTTTAATGAGAATCATTTCATACCGTTGGATTTTGCAAGCTGTGAATTGGGCGGACTCAAAGTTAATCAGTTAGACTTTTGGTTGTAAATTAGCTCAATATCTACAAACTTGATTGGCTTATCTATTTTTGTGTCAGCTTAGCTTGATTAGCCATTGTGACCATCTTGAATTGGGTCGATGCAAATATTAATGAGTTGTAGACATTCATCCGATGATTACTTTTTGAATGTTTGCCAAAATCTCCCAAGACAGTGTTGGTTCCAACAGAAAGGTTCACACAAAAATGTTGTGCAGATTATGTAAAAATGTCAGCTGCTCCCACATGTAATGGCTCTTTTCTTGCTTTTGGTGGAGGACGATAAAAATAGTTTGAAGTTTGGACAGATGAAGCCACAGTTCAGTGCACAAGCTGCTGGATGCCCAGAGAAGCAGCGGTCCAGAACATTCACGTCGATCCAGTGGTTTTAGCTCAGGAGGTTGTGGCTGTGTTTTAGCTGAAGGTTGTATAAGTTTGTCAGCTAAGAGAATTGTTCATTCATGGGCTAATATATGATGACACTAAGCTGTTTTTTGCTCAGGTGATAGAAAAGAGAAAATTCCAGTACGAAGCAGAGCAGAACACGTTTTACTGGAGTCTTTTGCAGATTTGTGGCTCAGCTGACCAGCTCGTCAAAGCATCTCAGTGTCCCAACACTCATGGCCATATGGTGCTCTGGTGGAAGCAGAATGCTGATTCGCTGCGTGTTATTTTTCCAGTTGAGGAAATGTTGCCTTATGAGTCGTGGACTCAGTGGGATGGGCAGCATTGGCACAGAGAGGCGGAGGCTCCTGGTGGTAGCAGAGGAAGTCATTCCCTTCGCTCGGTGTGAGCTTTGTTCTGTACAGTTATCAAAAGGAAAAATAAACACAAGGAGGTGTTTACAGAGCGCTGGTGATGCTGACACAAGCACTGGTTGCAGAGAAGCCTGAGCAACCTTGACGACGGCATTCTTGTGGTCCTTTCATAGCTAGTAAGGCCTTGTTGGATTAAATGGAAACAAGCATAAAGGATTTAAATGATTTTCTTCTGTTTTTAGGGCGTCCAAAACATGCCACATACTGGCTTGTTTGATGTGATCGGCTCAAAGACGACTTTAAAGGCTGCTGTGTCTGTCAACGCTTGAACCCGCAGTAGGAGGAGGAGACATGGGCAACACTGCGACCAAGTTCCGTAAGGCGCTCATCAACGGAGATGAGGTCCTGGCCTGCCAGCTCTACGAGAGCAACCTGCAGTTCAAGGAGTCGCTGGATCCCAACTCTACATATGGAGAGTCCTACCAGCACAACACTCCGCTGCACTACGCTGCCCGGCATGCCATGATGCGCCTACTCAGGTCAGGAGAGGGGCCAGATGAAAGTCAGGGATGCTAAACAGTTCAGATGTAATTAACTTGAGACTTTTTTTATATGCTGTGCTCAGAAAGGAGAAGTACAGGAGCTTCTTCCTGTAGTTTTGTATCAAGTTCATTTGAGCAGTACTTATAATGATGTAGGGTTGTTATAGGAACGTTGTTAATTTATTTAATGTTTTGTCTCTATATGTCTCCCTCCATCTGTCCCTCCTTGTAGCCATCTGTAGTCAGAAATGTGACATGCTGGGTTGAAATAGAAACGAGTTCAAAGAGTTTCTCGTCTTACAATTTATCAACTTTTAGCTCGTGTTGTCTTCATCCCACTAAGGTCTCAATTTTTCTTAACTGAATGGACGGGCATATTTGTGGATATTTTGTATTTCACAGAAAACTACAAATTATGACTTGATTGAAAAATATTCCAACTGAGGCACTTTGTGCATTTTGCCATGTTTTTTTTTTTTTGCACATACAAGTAGATTTAATACAAAAGTATCTCATGTTTATTCTGGATTATAATATTTAATTAAATGTCTAACATTCTTTTAAGTAATGCATATCACCCACCTCGTGTTATGCGAGAGTTTTAGACCAAGCTCACCCTGAATTGAAAATAGACTAATGCTTGGTTCAAACTTTGTAAATTAAATTATGCATTATCTCATCAGATTTGTTAGAGCTCAGATTATGTGTTGGGGATGACTCTCTGTTACTTCCACACCTTATGTTGGCTCAGAATCTGTATAACTGGGATAGTTTCTTGTTTGTGTTTACAAAGGTTGATTAGCAATGGCAGGCTGGCTTAACTAGTTGTAGAATTTAAACTAGAGTTGACTTCAGTGGTTAGAGGCAAAGTTTTAAAAACTGATCACGCACAAATAATACATTTTTAGAGTATAATTGGGGATGATGCTCACTTGTAACCATACAAAATACGTGTCCACTCATTGATGACTTTTTTTGAGTTTCATTAAAATTTGTCCAGTGGTTCATAGGATATTTGGCTAACACAACAAACAAACACAGACACAATCCAAAACGTTAGCGCCGTTCATCTTCTGCGTCAGACGTTAGACTCCAGCTTTATCAGTTGTATCAGAAAATTTGGGTATTTTGTGATTTCCTCCTGTTGTTTAAATAAAAAGAATTATAAACACAAATTATTTTTGGACACCAAACTAATAATAAAGTTTGTGTATTAGCTTTATATTTTGAAGACCTAGACACATATAATATTTGTTATTAATGTTAATAACTTCATTATTTTCAGGTCTTTTCTTCTAATCAAAGACGGCAATCCCAACAAGCGTAATGTTCACGATGAGACGTCTCTGCACCTTCTCTGCATGGGGCCTCAGATCATGACCTCTGAGGGGGCACTGCAGCCACGGATCTCGCGGCCATACGAAGACGAACAGCGTCGAGCGGATTGCCTGCAGATTATCTTAACGTGGAAAGGAGCGAAGCTGGACCATGGAGAGTACGAGACTGCCGATGTCAACGCCGTTGACAAAAAGAAAAACACTTGCCTACACTACGCGGCTGCCTCAGGCATGAAGACTTGTGTTGAGGTGAGGATTCGTTGCTCTGGAGGTATTTTCTGTAACATATTCTCAGATTTTAGACACAGATGAAAGATATCAAATGTGGCGAATGAAGAGCCTCACATTATCATCATCGACATATAAACGCAACACTTGTTTTTGCTCCTATTTTTCACGAGCTGAACTCAAAGACTCTTAAGACTTTTTTTGTACACAACAGGCTTTTTTCTCTCACAGTGTAACCACACCAAACCAGGACCTGTGATAGACAGCTGTGGGATAAAACTGCACATTTTAGAGGGGCCTTTTATTATGGTCAGCCTAAGGCTCACCTGTGTCTACTCAGCATCTTGATATGCCACACCTGTGAGCTGGATGGAGAAGTGCTCTGTAACAGATTTACACAAATTTGTGAACAATATTTAAGAGATAATGGCCCGTTGTGTACATAGAAAAGTTTGAGATCTTTGAGTTCAGCTCATGAAAAATGTGAACAAACACAGAAGTGTTACGTTTATACTTTCGTTCAGTGTATTTTTCACTGAGCCATGTTGCAACACAGAGACGTTAAATAATTGAAAACTGACTTCATTTTGCACCTTTAAAACCTGAGCTTAATATTCCAAACATTATAATTGTTGCTGTCGTTCACAGTGGGGGCCCCAACCACTGATATAATGTGATGTTATCCACCTTTTTCACATAGAAACACTGCAAACTTGAAAAACTATAAGTCAGATATTAATTCTGTAACATCTACAGCAGTCCCTTGCAAGTTTGCGGTTCATTTATTGTGGACTCGCTCTATCTCGGTTTTTCAAAATAAGATTGGACATGACACACAATTAGCTGATTGATGGATGAGCCGCACGATCGGCATGGAATTTGTATTTAAAATAATTTATTTAAAATTATTTAGCACCTCCTGCACATTTGTGCAGCCCATACTGCAGGATAAACGTCTTGCTGCAGCTGATCAGCTGTTCACCATGCAGAGTGGAGAAGTGGGCGTGGCCAAGAGCGCTTTCCGGTGGCAAAGAGCAGAGGCAGAGAGCTGAAATCATGACATTCTGTGCTCTTTTAGAGCGTTTAGAGTTTAGAAATGTTGTTTAGTATATTGCAAGAGTGTGGGAAGGGTTTAAAATGCCTTTATTTATATATATATATATATATATATATATATAAATATATAGATATATAATCTCCACTGTGTACAGTGCACGTTTTACACACAGGAGCGTCTCCAGACAGCTCTGCAGAGTGCGCACAACAGCTGATGTGTCGGAACTCCTGCACATAGACGTATACGCACAGCTGAACGTGGATGACGACGCTCCCCGTGGGACATGCAGTCCGCGTCTCTGCTAGGCAGGAGCGTGGCTGGAACACCCACTCCACAGACTTGGCAACGTCTCCTCTCGTTGTATTTTTAATAATCAAACTTAAAATGTGCGATGACTTTGGACTTATAGGGGCGGAGATTTAAGTTGCCAGATACATTTCAGACCAAAAAAAAGCTTACTGTAACATTTTTTATTTATTTATTTATTTATAAATACATTTTTTTACAAATATAT